TCAGCACTGCAGAGGCTCACTATAGGGCCATTCATGGGATGCCTCTACAGCATCTATTCCCCTCCTTTCCCCTTCCATTAAAGAGCTATGCCGTTCTTAGAACTATGTAGTTCTTAGAAAGCTGATACATGCACCCCTGAACCAAGGGTAAAACATGTGTAGGCTAATAGGCTAAGCCAACTGCATGCTATATGCCCCTTCCTACTCTAGACAGAATAAATCTCAAGGCTTGATAAGATGCATGGTACACAGATATCTTACTTATTCTTTAAAATATGGTGGAAAGATGTAAGGCCTGAAACCACTAAAATTTTGCCACTATAAACGAGGTTAAGATTCAGGAAAACTTAACAAATTATATAAGCTATTAAAACAAAGCTCCAAAATAAATATATCAGTGTAGGTCCATTTAGGCGAAAGAAACCACATAGAAAAAGTTTAATATAAAAAATGGGTGGGGGGTGGCACCTGTGGCTCAAAGAAGTAGAGCCCCAGTCTCATATACCAGAGGTGGCGGGTTCAAACCCAGCCCCGGCCAAAAACTGTACAAAAAGAACTGGAGACTATAACAGGATATTCAAGTAATAAAGAATTATATAGGAAGATATAAAAAGAAAGTAAAACAATACAGAAATAGCAGGTAGAATCTAAGGCTCAGACAGAACACCCAAAGAAAAGCTCTTCCCAAGCTCTCTTCCCTAGTGCTGAGAACCAGATCTTGTTGGAGAAGGTACAGCCTTGGCTCACTGAAAGAAAACTCAATCTAGTACCACTGCACTGGAACTTAACTGTAAATCTGCCCTTTGGAACTTGCCAGAAATTCTCTCTCCAGGACGTCAGAGAGGCTATTCACAGGGAGGTATTTTAGTAGAAGCACTTTACTGTAAAACATCCAAAAAGTGGACAGCTGGGGGAAAATGCTATTGATCACTATGTACTGTAACACCCAGGGCACTACAGAAGCTACGGCGGTTTCAGAAGCCTGGTGCTAGAAAAAATCAAGTGAACACACAAACACCTGGAAGTAAAATCATTTGCCTTGTAGTACTTCTACAGTGTCTTCTAATGTACAAAGTTTTAGTGCCAGGTGGAAAGAAGAAAACGTTTAAAAAACCCAAATCAATTTCCACCAAACAGGTAAGACTGAGTTTGTTACTAAGGGGCAGTAAATTGATGACCAGCATATTATATGAAGCACAACTTGATACAAATCAAAGGACAAAGAATTCAGTAATTACAGTTAGATATTTAAATATTCTTATCTTAGTAACTAATAAAATAACCAACCTCCCACCAAAAGAAAAAATCAAAATACAGAAGATTTGAACATTATCAAACAACTTGATCTAAATGACAAAAATTGAGATATATATATATATAAATAAAATAACTTTATCAGAATACTGTTGACTCCTGAACAACATGGGTGAATAGGTCCATTTATACACAAGATTTTCTTCTGCCTCTGATACCTATAAGACAGCAAGACCAACCCCTCCGCAACCCCCTTCCTATTTAAGATTTTTTTTTTTTTTGAGACAGAGTCTTTGTCACCCTCAGTAGAATGCCATGGTACTCACAGCAACCTCAAACTCAGACTCAAGTGATCCTCTTGCCTCAGCCTCCCAAGTAGCTGGGACTAAAGATGCTTGCCACAACATCCAGCAATTTTTAGAGACAGTGTCTTGCTCTGGCTCAGGGTGGTCTCAAACCCCTAAGCTCAGGGAATCTACCCACCTCGGCCTCCCAGAGTGCTAGGATTATAGGCTTGAGCCACTGCACCTGGCCGTGGCCAAATTTTTTATATGAAATTCCTGGAAAAGGAAAATCTGTAGAGAAAGCAAAAGATTAACAGTGACTGGGGGATGGGCGTAGAGATTGACTAGAAATAAACATCAGAGAACTTTTTAAGTGATAGAAATATAATTGTCTAAATAGGATAATGGTTTGCAACTATATAAATTTTCTAGGAATCATTTAATCATAGTTATAATAGGTGAATTTTATTATATGTAAGTTACACCTCACTAAAACTGTTAAAGAGAAGAAGGGAATGAAGTACTTTCCCTGCCTTTCCTATATGAAATGTATTTAAGGATAACAAAACTGCTGATGAGAAATTTTGTATAGAAGAATTCCAGCTAATAAATATGAAAGAATGACAATATTGGAAAAATAACAAACTTGTAACCCCTAATGAAAAGATGGCTCTCAATGGATGGTAAAGATATTAGATGAATGGCTGATGAGAAACTTTACAATGGAGAACGCAAAAGGACACTTCTTGGAGCCAAGTGAGTGGTCTTAGCATCACTAAACCTAAGACCATCAGACATTTTATGCAACTTAATAAAATGAAGGATTCTTTCTAAAATTAAATTAAATTAAAATAAGCCTGAATCTGATCAAACCTCTAAATCCAATTATCAGTATAGCATATAAGTAATAAACAAGCTCAATAATTCTTTAAGGCAGCAATCAGCCAAATCCAAATGTAGAACATTCTCAAGGACCTAGTTTACCTAACAATTTCACAGTATTAAAAACACCCAAGTAAGTAAATAAATAAAGAGTACTACCAAAGAAAAAAGAAACATAAGAGATAAATAGCCGTATGTAATGTGTAAAACCACATCTTGACTGGATCCTTATTTTAACAAACCAACTGCAAAACAAAAACCATTTTTTGGAAAACTGGGAAAATATGGATAATGACTTTATTTCATTAAGGAATTACTAGTTTTGTTAGGGGTGATACCAGCAAGGTGGTTATATATTTTTAAAAGCTTTTATCTGGTGGGGTCATACCAAAGTATCTGTGGTGAAATGACGAGCATGGAATTTGCCTTTAAATACTGCAGCAATTTTTCTAAGTGAATATATAATAAGATCGGCAAAATGTTGAAAACTAATGATACTGGGTGATAGGTACATGGGACTTCATTATTTCATTCTTTTTACTTTTAGTGTTATCTATCTTTTTCATCTTATAAAAGGTTAGTGAACAGGGGGTGAGGCAGGAGATAAGAAAAAAGAGCCCAAAGCTCACAGGAGAGTCAGGGATTAGGACTGATGTGGAAGACATCAGAGGGCAGCCATTGGAAAATGTCATATAAAGACAGTATAAGAGAGATCAGAGAAGAGACCAATATTTAAAATAGGGCAAAAACAGCTGAATTTAAAATGGATGCCAAAAAGGATCAGTGATTGGGAAAAGACCAACGGGAAAAAAATCAATCAGGGAAACCAAGAAAGAAAGTTTCTAAATAATAACTACTAAGTATTCTTCTTATAGCCCCCAAAATTCAAATCAAATAGGAAAAAGAGCATTATTTTTTAACAGAGAAAGTTCAAAATGAGAGAAATGATTATCTTCATTTTTTTTCCTAAGACACTTAATTTCCCAGACACTGAACAAGATATTCAGGAAATATTCAAATGTATATACCCACTGGCAAAAAAAAGCCATGTAGCTAACCTACCACTGTGGAAAATATAATACCAAGTGCAAGAACAACTATAAAAAAAAATCAGTAAGATATTCACACTGGCTCGGCACCTGTAGCTCAGTGGCTAGGGCGCCAGCCACATACACCGGAGCTGGTGGGTTCGAACCCAGCCCAGGCCTGCCAAACAACAATACAACCAAAAAATAGCCAGGCATTGTGGTGGGTACCTGTAGTCCCAGCTACTCAAGAGGCTGAAGCAAGAGAATTGCTTAAGGCCAAGAGTTTGAGGTTGCTGTGAGCTGTGATGCCACAGCACCCTACCCAGGGTGACATAGTGAGACTCTGTCTCAAAAAAAAAAAAGATATTCACACTGGCACTGGCTATGAAGAGTTCTCTGGAGAAGAGTCAATAAACCTCCATGTAAAGAAATAATGGGCCAGCCTTTCTCCTTACACCCAGATTCCATCATGGTGCTAGGCCACATGCTTTTACATTACTAAAATCTCATTGCCATGGGTAGAGGGGAATGGTGGAGGGGACAGTTAACAATGGTGATGCTCAATATTTTTGACTTTTTTTTTTCTTTTTTGAGACAGAGCCTCAAGCTGTCCCCCTGGGTAGAGTGCCATGGCATCACAACTCACAGCAACCTCCAACTCCTGGGCTCAAGCGAGTCTCCTGCCTCAGCCTCCCAAGCAGCTGGGACCACAGGTGCCCACCACAACACCCGGCCATTTTTTGGTTGCAGCCGTCTTGTTTGGCCAGCCCAGGCTGGATTTGAACCCTCCACCTTAGGTGTATGTGGCTGGCACCTTAGCCACTTGAGCCACAGGCGCCGAGCCAATATTTTTGACTTTTTGAGCAACAGTTACATGTTAGATCAATCTGGTGATCCCAGAGCCTTTCCTAATTACACAGATAAATAACAGAGCTTTTCATTTCACATCCAGAACTTGAATCACTTATACCCAAATGCACACTTTTGCACTGCTGCCCTCACAAATAATTGTATCTTGTAACTTGAGCAATTTATTGTTATCCATGACCCTGAAAAACGGTCTCTTTCAAATAATTTATTAACACAATGAATGTAATACAAAATGTTAAAGCATATACTGTATTTTAAACTACCATTACTTTGATCTTCTATTATTCACTCTCCTGATTTGCAATGCATCGAGGTTAAAGAAACATTTTTGTTTGCAGGGCAGAGTCCCACCTAACACAATCTCTGTCATGAACTTACCTTATCATCTCAATCGATAAAAAATTTAAATAAGTCTTTCTTTTCGATAGACCAAACACGGAAAAAAGGAATCATTCTCAGCCTCTACAGTACATACATTTTTATTACTTCCAGGCATATCATGAAATTCTAAAAAGTATAAAAAAAAGTCTCAGCTCAAAAAAGGAAAATAAAAGTTTCAGCTCAGAATTTTTAAAATTCTGTTAAACCCTTTTAAACTTTGACTTAACCCAGGATTAAAGAACATAAGGATAATAAATTCTAAATAGTCCTAGACACAGGAACTAAAAAGTTAAAAACTTACATTCAAGCTGTGCAACCACATCTCCAGGGTCTACTGCATCAGGGAACACCTAAAGTGGAAGGATCCGTGGGAAACAAGATGGGAAAGAGGAAGTGAAGGAAGATAATAGAGGACTGGTTTTTCCCTCTCACTCTCAAAACATCATTCCTTTTTCAACCAGAAACTTTCAACATCATTGAGAACTGTCACTTCCTCTCTGCTTCTCATGATCACTAGGAAAGATTTTACAAATAATCTTTATAGCTCGCACTGCCTCCCTCTCCCTTTCCACCTGCTAGGGCTCTTTCCCTTATTGGTTACCAGGAATACCACCCACCCTCCTGGTATTCCTCCCACCCATCAAGCTTATTTCTAAGAAGCCTTCGTATTTATCATTCCTCTGCTTAAGACTGCTCTTTCCCTACACCTTCAAACAACTGATACAGTCTTATAATTCAGGCTTAAGTGTTATTGCCTTCTCTGACCCCCTCGAATTCCCTTAATCCCCTTTCTCCCAGCCATTTCATTCTCTTCATGTACTTATCCCTACTATTATTCATGTTTACTTGATTATTTCCTGCTTCTCACATTACAATGAAAGTTCCAAGAGGGAAGGATTTGGCCTTGTTTACCATGTGCCCTCAATGCCCTGCAGGTTCCAGGTAATTATTTGTGGAGAAAAGGAAGAAGGAAGGAAGGAAGGAAGACAGAGAGGAAAGGCGAAAAGGAAGAAAGGGAAAGAGGAGGAGGAAAGGAAGGAAGGGAAGAAGAGGGGGAGGAAAAGAGGGAGAGGAGGAGGAGGGAGGAAGGTGAAATAAGGAAAGTAGAAGATGGGCGATAAGAAAGAAAGAAGAGAAATGAAAAAAGTAAGAAATGAAATTGGTATTACATTTGATTAACCAAAAGCAGCAGTTTTAGGAAGAAAAAGGAAAAGAAACTTATAGAAAGAACTACACAAGCCAGCTATAAGTAAATACGACATGTTCTTACATACTAATGACTTCTCCCTTTTTTTATGAAAATGATTACTTAGAATTCAAGATGCTATGTTGCACATAAATCTCAGCAAGACAATTTTAGAAGCAAGCTAATATATCAAGGGAAAAAAGGCAACTGATTCAATGCATATTCAAATCATATTTATTTCCAAGCTTGAAGTTCTGTCACAATTTGCCTTTTAGACTAAATCAAAGAACATAGTCAGCAATAATAATTTGTATTATAGGCTTTTATTCAAAAATTAAAACCACTTCCATTTTGTTATTTGTTAACACTTGATCTGATATTTGATCTCACCTTTTCAAACACCATTCTGGCATTGAAGACCAGTGGAAAAGTGGCTGGGACACATTGTGTCTTTTTGTACTGGCCAAACACACAGATGCTAAGATAGATGTCCTCCTTGTCTTTCAGCACCACTCCTGGACAAGTTACCTGAAAGAAATTGGATACTGCAAATGAATGCAATTGCTTTATGAATTCCCTAAGCTATCCTACTAAGATGATTTCTCAACTATTACATAAAAACACAAGTCTGCTAACCTCATAAAAATACTCACAAATAAAGAGAGAGAGAGATTGTAGTGTTTACAGAGTTAAATGAAATGCTTTCATAACTTCCATCCCTCTGAGAAATCTACAATTTTCCATTTGGTTACTTGTGCCACATTTGAAGCTCTCTGTGCTGGCTCTTGGGACAGACACTAATAGTTTTAAAAAGTCAGCCTTAGGCTTCTACTTTATGCTGAATGCTTACATAAAGTTATTCAGCATCATTTAATCACAAAGGATTAACACTCAGCAAAAATAAAACATTATTCTAGAGAATGAAAAAATACAAATAAAAAGCACAAATCTAACCTCTATCACCCTATATAGCAGTCCACAGATATCCTTATCAAAAGCAATATGCAAAGTTTCAAAGCTAATGAACTGAAAGTCCCTAGCCCAATAAAGTATTTTTAAAGTATTCAATTGCTCTTAACTATTCTTATTATAATTGACAGAAAGTATAGGCATACAATGTGGGGTTTTTAAATAATATACAGCATAATCTCTCCAGTCTCTGCTGTATTTCATTCAACTATACCCTTAACAGGATATTAAAGGTTCTCTAAGATTTAAATCCAACATATTAATATTACCCCACACCTTCTAACAATACATCCAAAGTACATTTTCATTGTTGACTGAACACCATATTATATGCTTGCTTCATGCTCTCCCACCATCTATATAATGTAATATAATGTAATGCAATGAAGATAAGGAGCAGTAATTCCTCACTACTCCATTCATCTCTTCCTCATTTACTCCCACCACCTGCCAAGACATACATCAACTGCCATATGCTATACAAAACTTCTCTTGATTCATCAGCTAACATTATTCAATTCAAGCTAATTCAATCATTTATTATGAACTTACTCTAGGTAAGTAACATGTTTTTAAATTCTCATAGCACTTAGTTCCCTTCAGGTCCAAATTCTTGTCTAAATGCATTTTAATTAAGTGGGTACATCTGACTCACTTCTTTTATTTGTTTATAAATTCTCTGAGGACAGAAATTTTATTTTCCTCATCATGGTATCCAAAGAAATGGACTTTCAGTATTAAGAAGCTTATAGATGATCTAGTCCAAATTCAAAGTTTTTATATATGAAGCCAACTGAGCAACAAGAACTTTTAGGTGATCTACTAACTCAACGTCTGAAAATGAATGACTCATTAATAAGATTAAATGAGTCAATACATTCAAAGTGCTTAGAGCAAGCAGTGCTTGACAGACCACTCATCAATACTAGCTATCATTATTGTTACGCTAAAAACCATATTGTCTGCCATATTAACAGTCTACTACATTAAATAAATGACTAAGACTGAATGTCCTCTTTTGTACACAGCAGTTAAAATTATTTTCTGTACCAGCTCTTTTGACCTCATGTCCTTTTTACCCTATTTTCCACTTTTGCTCTAATATATTCCTAATTGGTCATTAAATGTGCTCAGCAAATCTCATTCTGCCCATCAGCTCCATTTTCTACTCTGCCTCATTAAAAGCTAGAACTGTCTTAGAGTCCTAAATTTGTGCTGTCCAATACAGTAGCTGCTAGCCACTTATGCCTCTGGATGTAGCTAGTCCAACTTGATATGAGATGTAAGATACACACTGGATTTTGAAGACTTGTTACAAAAATATCTAAGATTTGCCTCAATAACTTTTATATTAATTACATCTTTAAAGTATTTTGAATGTATTGATTTAAATAAAATATGTTATTAAATTATCTACTATTCATTTTATCTACTTTTTTAACTTCAAAAACAATGTAGCTACTAGGAAATTTAAAATTATACCTTTGGCTAAAATTTGAAGCTTAAAGTGTTTGGGGCGAGGTGGGGCAGCAGCACTACTCTAATTATCCTCACTGGAAATTGTCGAATCTCTATCCAATTTGAAACGCGTCCAAGAAGGCATGGCTTTTTCATCTCATCTAAAATTCTATAAATTCTGCCATCACTTAAAAGAATACCAAGCAGCTTTCCAAAAAGAAAGCAGGAAAAGGGAGATTAAGTAAAATCTGATGGGGCAGAAAATAACTAGCAAAGTGGTTGACTTAAACTACTTTGACAAGCTATGACATGTTCGTGGTAATTTAGAAAAACACGCACATGTACAAGGCTGAGTGTATGCTCAGAAATGACCCAACAAAGCCATAATCTCTCGCCTCTCGCTGACCTTGAAGCTTTAGGAAAGCGGGAAGTGAAGACTATGCTGTAAACTAGCATCAGGACAAAGAAAGCATATCCGGTGTGCGCAAAGGCTGAGGGACTTACTGGGTGAAAGCATTTAAGTCCAATCATTGGCAGACCAGAAGGCTAACTGAGCAAAAACTCCAGTGGTCACACAGGACAAAGAACACAGACTTCACAGAATTTGCTGAGGAAAAGAACTAAACAAACAAAAAACAACAATAACAGACAACAACAAATCTGGGAGAAGGAAGAGAGTTGAATTTACAGAGTTCCATATAATATTCTTTAAAATGTCCAGTTTTCAACAAAAATCATAACATGCAAAGAAATAAGACGTATGACCCACCACACACAGAAAAAAAACAAAATCATCAGAAACTGTCCTTGAGGAAGCCCAGAGGTAAACAAAAACAAAGATAACTCATCACCAGCAGAACTTTCCTGCTAGAATATAAAGAGAATCCTTCAGGTTAAAAAGAAAGGATACTAGACAGTAACTCATATCCACATGAAAAAATAAAATAGAACAATATCAAATCAGCACATTGTACCCAATGTACAGAGTTATGATTTAATAAAGAAAAAATAAATAAATAAATATAAAAACAGTATAAATACCTTTTCCCCTTTTAAGGTGACCAGACATCCTGCTTTTGGCAGGACAGTCCCCATTTTTAATAATTTGTCCTGCATCCCACAGCATTTTTAAAAAGTCCCAATTTTTGGAAAGAATGCACAACAAGCTAGGGAATGGTGGGAGAATGGGAAGGAAATAGAGACGGTTTTCGGCTGCCATGTGGCTATTTCGCCAGGATATGAGTTTTATATTATTTTTGTTAATTTTATAGTTAAACTTTAATAATAACAAATAATTGTCTAGAACTGATTATCAAGAACTGCTTATCAAAGTTCACATTGTTGATCAGTTGTTAGACTTCAACCACCATTGTTTGGACTTAATGAACAATGGCATTTTTTGGCATTGGCAACGACAAAAACATTTTGTAACTGTCTCTCAGACAGTACACAGCGTACTGCGTGCTAGTGCTAGTTAAAGAAGTGATGTCAACAAATCAGCTATTCAGATAATTTGGGCAAGTAATTTATTTATTTACTTCATGAATTTAGCATATAGTACTTGTATTATTTATATTTTATAGTGGCGGCAAAAAGTCTAGCGCCGGCCTTGAAAGTGACACTTATGACTTACGAGGTATCATTATTTAAAAAATATATTGATAAGGAAAAGGTTAAATCTTGGGCATCAGCAAAAATCACAATAGAGAACAAATGGTTAGAAATATTTCATCATTTTGAAACAAATCATGTTCCATACAATAATGCACTAAAAATTGTGGGATATATGCTGTCCTTACCAGGAACTTTGCTGCAACTGAACACGTTTTTCCTACAGTAAATAAAGTATGGACATCAGAAAAATCACAATTAAGTGTTGAGACTTTGAAAGCTATTTTATGTGTGAAATATAATTTAACAAATTCTTGTGAAAAATGTCATGACCTTTTAAACAACGACAGCAATCTACTAAAAAAAATTCATTCAAATGAGAAATATGCCAAAGAATAAAATAATACTATACATAATTTTTAATGTATATTTGTAAATTGTAATTATGTCAAAATTAAAAAATATATATTACAATACTATTTTTGCATTCCATGAAAATTTTTGTTGCTCCATATAGACCAAATTTTTAATTAAGAACCTCCCCCCACTCCCACCCTGTCAATGGTGTCCCGCTTTACCAATGTTAAAATCTGGTCACCTTACCCTTATTTCTCCTATCTTATTTAAAGAATGATTGTGTAAAACAGCAATTATAAAACTGTGCTGATAAGACTTATACAAATATAACAAATGTAATTTGTTACACACTTCTCTCTGAGCTTTGTCAGGAAGAAAAAGAATTTTTAACGTAATTTGTATGATAATAATATTATAAAGAAAGGGAGAGAAATAAGTACTAAACAGCAGCAAAGATTTTGTGTACTACTGAAATGAAGTTAGTATTAATCCATACTATCACCATTTATTATAAATAAAGATATTAACTATGAACTCCAGGATAAGCACTAAGAAAATAATTCAAAAACTACAGTAAAATAAGGAAATTAAAATGGTACACTAGGGTGACACCTGTGGTTCAAAGGAGTAGGGCGCTGGCCCCACATGCCAGAGGTGGCGGTTCAAGCCCAGCCCCTGCCAAAAACTGAAAAAAAAAAAAAAAAGGTACAGTAAAAAATAGTTAACACAAAACCAGGTGTGGTGGCTCATGCCTACAATCCTAGCACTCTGGGAGCCAAGGTGGGTTGATTGCCTGAGCTCCTGAGTTCAAGACCAGCCTGATCCAGAGCAAGACCTCATCTCTAAAAACAGCCAGGTGTTGTGGTAGGCGCCTGTAGTTCCTGCTACTCAGGAGGCTGAGCCTAGAGAATTGCTTGAGGTCAGGAGTTTCAGGGTGCTGTGACCTGTGACACTATGGCACTCTACCAAGGGGGACAAAGTAAGACTCTATCTCAAAAAAAAAAATAAAAAGTAGAAAATAGTTAACACAGAAGAAGGCCATGTGGAGGAACAGAGAAACAAAAAGGACGTAAGGCATATAGAAAACAAATAGCAAAATGACAGATAAATCCTACCTTATCCGCAATTACATT